CTCTTGAACGTTACTTTACACCCGGACTCGGACCGCAGCAGAAGCACCGTGAGTGTGTGGAGCCAGTTTATATTCTGTGTGGAGTTAAAAGAAAATAAATGTTTGGATAAAAACTACTCCATTCGTCGACTGATGTCTTCAAGCTGCAACAAATGCTTCGTGGATATAAATCGTATATTGTTGGAAAGCCTGATCATTTGCCTTTTAAATATTGCCACATTTGTAAGGATCATGCATTTGTGGGATGAGCAGTAGAGCTGAGTATGTGAGGCAGTGACAGACACGGTACAGCAGGAACCAATTAGCTGCTGTTTTTTTAAATCAAACATCAGATTGCAGTGGTTTTTTTTAATGTTTTTGTTTTTCAAGCCCTGCGAGTTCCACTATCTATACGTGTAGAGGAGGAAATAAACAAACTTTAATGGAACAAAGACCGGCTAAAATTATCCAGCAACTAGAGACACAACCATGAGCTGCGGGATTCTTAAATCAAAACACCGGATTTAAACTTTCTGTGTTTTTTTTTTTCCCCCCGAGTCCCATGATCTCATCTTTATAAACATGCAGAGGAGGAAATAAACTTTATTGGCACAAATACCATATAAAATTAACCAACATGTGGATACAACCGTAAGACTCGGATTATTTTAAAACTTAAACATTAAAAAGACATAGACGATGGGATTATGTTCTCTGCAATATAATCTGGTGACTCTTGTTTTGAACTTCTCATACCCTGGTGCTGCCAATCATGTGCCTGTTTTTTTTGTTTGTTTTTTTCCCGGTATTCTTCAAAATTCAATCATCCCGTCCACCAAACAAGTCATTGACAGAATAAACTGAGAGAATTTGACACTACAGCTCATCCCACAAATGCATGATCCTTACAAATGTGGCACCGTTCAAAAGGGAAATAGTTTTTTTCAACAATATAAGATTTATTACCAAGAAGCATTGTTACAACAAAGACATAATCTACCAAACACAAATTTCTTTACTTTATGTTCTAAGTGTATTCATTCCTTTACAGAGGTCAGTCATGGTCACTGAGTTTCTGCTGTGTGTCTGCAGGGCTGACGTGATGCAGCAGCTCGTCCAGTCCTCAGACCTGTTCGTCATGCAGGTGGAGATGGACGTTTACACCGCACTGAAGAAGGTAGAAGGCCGAGTCCCTTCATGTCACACTTGTCGGCGCGGTCCAGTTCTAGCCCGTCAGTTTCATACGTCGTCCATGTTTTTTTTTTTTCTGCAGTGGATGTTCCTGCAGCTCAACCCGTTGTGGGACGGCCCGATTAAGCAGCTCCTGGCCGACGCTGACGCCTGGCTTTGCAAGCGCAGGGCGGGTAATGCCATCTGCTTAAAGTTTGGATTTATATTGTGTTTGCTGTGAGTAGTGAAGCATTTTTTTTAATTTAAACTTTTGTTTGCAGATCTGTGTGAGAAGGAGCCGTTCTTAAACACAGAGGAGGGAGCACCGTTTCACTCTGTGTTCAAGCTTGTGCGTCTTCAGTATATCATCAACGATCTGGCGTCTGCGCGCATCCTGGAGAGAGACAATATTTTACCTCCTGGTTCGTGTTTGCATTTCAAATGAACCCTTCTGTTTATAGCTTATTGTTATATGTATTTTTAATTTAAAATACACCTGCTTGTGAATTAATATCAGTGGTCATGCTTTGTGTTTTAGACTGGCTGACAACCATCTACAAGAACCAGTGGTTTGCCATGCTGCGCACAGAATTTGACAATGATAACGGGTGAGAGTCAGAAGATTAACTTCTGTAAGGAGCTTATAGACATAGATTTTATATGTTTTTTGCTTTTTTAGTCCTCAGGAACCCAACAAAGAGGAGTTTGAGTTGAACAGCATGAGATGTGGCAGGAAACTGAGTAAAGACGGAGACGTGAGTTTGACCTTTAAATCTTCACCTTTATTAAAAACATTTTTTTTTCCTTCACAATAACTAACAGTGCTGTTTCCTTGGTGTCAGTACTGCTGGCGGTGGACGGGCTTCAACTTTGGGTTTGACCTGCTGGTGACTTACACAAACCGCTTCATAGTCTTTAAAAGGAACACTCTCAGTCAGCCCTGTGGGGGCGCCGTGAGTCTGCAACCTCGGAGACATCTTGCATACAGGTTAGAAGCTTTCATCGAGAAAACGAACAGAATTGTCTAAAACACTTATCTATGAACAGGAAAATATTTACACATGTAGCATTCACTAAAGTGAATTGAAAACTCACACTTAGTGTCATTTTAAAAAAAGGTTCATGTGTTTTAAAAGTCGACACATTTCAGTTGAAATTCGTCACATTTTTAGACCCAAAAACGCTAGAAGGAACTGTTAGCTTGTACTGCTAGTCCCGATCTGCGCCACAAGTCACAACCACAGTTAACGCAAGACATGGAGGCTAAGAATGAAGTGTATAAAGGAAGTAGTCCTCAGGTTTTATATTTCCTCTCTGAATAATAATGGATGTAATGTTTCATGTGTTCTCATCACGCAGACAGTCGTGCCACACAGAGGAAGCAGAAATCACATGTTTTAAATCAAACATTGGCCCTCATGCAAGAACATGTTTGTATTCTTCTCCTAAATTTCTCTTACTTTTGTTCTTATGAAGGGTTCATTCATACGAACATGTCACGTCAGATTCAACAAACTCTTCTATCTTCAGGAAAAGTGTGTAAATGAGCAGCGTCAACTGATGAATGCTTATCAGGTGCTCGTACACGAGGAGAGGAGATTAGCACAATTACCACCCCAAAAACACCATATAAGGCTATGTTTCCTGCCCCACATACCAGGAAGTGTCCATTCATAAATGACATCGCAAAGTAAAAAAGAACAACTTTATGAGTTCGGAGATTGGAGTCCTGCTGTCAGAGATCCAGGAAAGAAAATCTGTCATTTTTAGCAGGTCAGCTGTGGAATTAAAGGAGCCAAGGAATGAAATGTGCTGTTAATGTCGTGTCTCCTGTAGGCTGTATACAGACACAGAAATAAAAATCTAAATCATATTTATCTCTCTCTCTCTAGTCCTGCTCTGATTTACCTTTGGTCAAATATTTTTAATTGAAGTGTAAACAACTGTGCTAAATAGTTTTCATTTATTCAGAAGAAGAAAAGTGGCACACCGCTATACAACAGCATTAAAAGTCAATTTAATTTAATTTAACCAATTTATGTCGTTAGTCTACATTATTACATTTAAAATCTAATTCCAGTTCAAACAGAACAACCTATTGTCATCATAATTATGGAGTGTGATTTATTTTCAACTCAAAATATCGTCAAACTAATGAAATATAAAGTTATTAATGAGAAAAATCCATCTGATAACAGCAGACTGACTGCTGGTAAAATATACGACAGGTCTGGACCACTCGTGAATTTTGTTCGAATCTGAAAAAAATCTTAGAATACGAAAAAATTGGTGAATGCCACAAATTATCTTAAATCACTCGTACGCACAATTTAAGAACAAATCTATTCAAACAGTTCTTGTATGAGGCCCAATGTTCCTAACGAGCAACAGAGGACGATCTGATGAGTGGCGTTTAAATCATTAACTGTGATGATTTGTTTTGTAAAGGTTACGTCTGGCCTCCTTTGATAGTCGAGGGAAGCTGGTCTGCAGTCGCTCCACAGGTTACCAGCTGCTCACCTTGGAGAAGGACCAGGTGAGTGACCCACTCCCACCGTTGTTTTGGTCTGTAAACCTTCTTTGTGTTCATTATTCCCCCTCTCTGTCTCTCAGGAGTACGTAGTGATGAACCTGGACAGCCGCTTGTTATCATTCCCGCTTTACGTGTGCTGTAACTTCCTGTACACGTCGCCTCCCTCAGACCACCGTCCAGACTCCTCTGAACAGGACAGCACGGCTCGCGTCGTGTCCTGATGTCCTCTCCACGAACCATTAACTGATGTCCGCTTAAATTTACAGTCCCATCCCGTGTTCAGCTTCACTTCGGACACGTCACCTGCACACTATTTTGTGAGATGATCAGGGAAATGTCTTTTTTTTTTTTTACATCAGTTGTAGCTCGTTCTGAGTTTGCTTTTTATATACCTGGTTTATCTAAAACAGACACAAAACCGTGTTCAGGAAGGATCAGACCAACTCGTACTCGTTTTTTTTTCTGTCTGCATGGAGCTGCTGGACCTCGCTTTGTGATAAAAACCCTCCAGGTCTTCTGCAGGTTGAAACTTTGGAGCTACTTGATATGAAGGTCCGGTGAGTCAAAGTCTTATTTAGACATCTGTTTTTCTTTAAGGTCACAAAACAACTCTGGATGGGATTTTTTTTAAATATGTACAGTTTTGGCACCATAGCATCGTCAAATTTCAGTTTGAAGATTTCATGTTTTACCAGCATCAATTGTGGTTTGTCATTGTAGAAAATAAGCCATGTGTCATTAACCTGTCACTGACAAAAACAGTTGAGTAAAACCAAAGTGGGACAAAGAGTGACAGACGCAGTAGTTTGTGTTTTATCACGTCACAGGTCATATTTCTAGTTCTACAACAAAACAGTATCTGGCAGGATTTCCTCTCCTTCACCTTGTACATACTGTATATTTACAGACTTGTTTAAAAAAAAACAATGTGATGAAAATGACACCAGCATCAGGAAGTCCGAATGTCTCAGGACTCATTTTTCTTGTGACACGAGGCTGCAGGACATTCTGCTCTTTACGTCTGTTTGAACTTTGTGATGTTCTGCAGTTTTGTTCCAAGTCAAAGATGCTGAAACTCTTCAGATTTCCTCAGTTTTTCCTCACTGTCGCCGGTGTTCAAACCCTGATTCTTGTTTTGTTGTTTTGCAGCTGAGTTGAACGTATTGTTCCCTCACAGGAGCAAAATCTTACATCTTAATTCACCTAAACATAAAGTAGCTTCACAGTTATCTTTGTTTACTTTTATTGTAATTATTTGTTCAAGATTTGTTTGGCTTCTTTTGTTTTTTATTTTTTTTTAAACCTTGTTTTGGAAAGCGGGGGATCCTCATTCGCAACTCTTGGTGATCTCAGTATTATCTGTACAGCTGCAACAGTTCAGTTTAACTTGTTTTTATTTAGCTGTTATTTATTTTATTTCTATTTTTTGTTACATTTACTGTATTTTATGGATCTGATTTCTTTGCAAAATAAATATGTTATTCTGTACAGCTAATAAAACCGCCCTTCCACACGGGCTGGGGTGCTATCACATGAAGGTTTTTATTACAGTTGTGTATTTATGCTCTCTTTTTAAGATATTTGATAAATATGTAGACATTACTACTTATTTCAAGTTTGAAAACGTTTTGCCCATGTTTGAACTGGTTTAAATAATCACAACCTTCGCTCCAGTCACTTTCAACAAAAGTCTGAAGCTCAATGTTAACTTTAAATCGTTTACTTCTTTTTAAATTTAGAAGAAAAAAAACATTCGCTGCCAAAAGGTGAAGTTGGACAATTTTCTTTTGCCCGTCTGTTACCAGAATATCATTTAAACCACTGGATAGATTCTAATAAAATTAGCAGAAATTAATATCTGGATGTTTGTTTATATCTAACTATTGGAGTCGATGGTCACCACAGATAGTCAACCTTATTGTTTATAACTGTCAGTTTCACCAAGTGTGCTGAAATTTGATGTGGTAGTAGCCGAGTAATTCACAACACATATTCAGATCATATTTACTGACAGAGCATTAGTTATTTTTTGGTTTGACCAAAGCGGTCTCAGCTCTATCATGTCTCATAAGATGATCTTGGTGTAAAACTCTGGCATGAAAAGTGGAAAGCAAAATACATTTTTTATTTATTCTTGCTTTCATCAAAGAATCCTCCACTTGTTTCCTGAAGCACCTCCCACAAGTTGGATTGGCTTGATGCATTTCTTACGCACCATGCGGTCAAGCTGCTCCCTTTACAGCTCAGGAGTATGAAGGTAGATTTGTATGAAAACTGACTTGCAAAACATTATAGACAGAATACCAGCTGACTACTTTGTTCCTGAATAGTTCTTGGATAGTTTGGAGCGATTCTTTGAGTCTTCGACTTGTTGGACAAAATTGGATCCAGTTAAATGCTGTCCTCAGGGTATAGCATGACAAATCTGTCAAATCTCCCACTGAAACAGCACCAAAAACATCCCCAGACCATCACGTTTCCTCCACCATGCTTGACAGATGAGTTCTGAACAAGAACAGACTGGGTTCTAGGAGAAAGTTCTGTTTTTTCTGGTCTTTTTGAGACGATACTCAAGCATACAAATGCTAATTTTTCCCAATATCCAACTACCTAAAGACAAATATGATTGCTCCTGTAACCAGTACAAACATTAAAAACTCCCATTTACAGCTATAGCAGTAATTTACTACATTAATGTCTAGACTGCATTCCTGATTGTTATTTTAATTGAAGAAAATTGTGCTTTTTTAAAATAAAAAAATAAGGACATTACTGAATAACCCCAAAACTTTTGAGTGTTAACAGAGAAAGCCCCCAGAAATGTATTTAATTTCGTCATCAAGCCTTAAATTATATTTATTACAGAGTTTGATTAAGTATGTATGTTTTGTTTAAACAAATCATATTTATTCTCTTTCTTTCCTAAAATAAAAATCCTTTGGTCACTGTTTTAATCACAGTCTGGTCCTCAGGATATCATCCCACAGTGTTTTGTTTCTTATATCATTATATACAGAGAATATAAAAAAAAAATTGCTTAACAAAACTTCTGTTTGCATGCAGAGAGGAGTAATTGAACAAAAGCCCAGTTTTCAGTGTTTTAATACATATAAAGAAACAAATTTGACCCTGAGCGACTATCACAGAAGAAACACGGGAGAGCTCGTTGAGAAATGGAAACAGGACAGGACGAGGAGCAGGAGAATCTGAATATAAAATCCTGCAGTTAAAGTACATTAATTTTAAAATGTACTTTATACACGATGACTCATTTGTTGCATCTCGGTCACACATAAGGCATGAAGAACATTGCTGAACGTTTTCCCTCTTTATGCAGATAAATTAGATTAAAACATTAAATTCTGTTACAACTAACTGCTGAAGTCTCTGAACTTGATTCCAGCTCTGAGTTCCTCGGGTCACGAACACCCCCCCGCCCTCATCGCGGCTTGTCCATCTGAGTCCAAGCCGTCTCGAGGACTGGCTTCAGTCGTCCAAACGGCTCCTCACTGCATAATAGATTCCAAATTGTCCTTGAGCCTTCGGGTCATGCTGGGGATCAGGTTAACGTGGTCGTCCACACAACTGCCCACACAGCGGTCCATGAGCGAGCGAACAGCTGGCTCCTTCGCGCCCGAGTCGAACAGATCCTTGGCCTTATCGTTGCAGTGCATCGTGCATCTCGTCAGACGATCCTGATGAGGACAAGGAGGAGAGAAGTCTCAGGACCGGTCATAAGGATTTGACTCTTGCTCCCAAATTTACATGCTCAAGTTCTTTTCCACGACATCAGAAACAGCTCGAAGCAAAAAGATGCTCGCCAAGAACACAGTCCTGAAACTTGATCCTAAACATCAATAAGTTTAAGATTTAATTTTATTTCCTAATGACCAACTACATTAATTCTGAAAAAAGCCAAAATATGACTTGCTGCTTATATTTGCAGATTTTGACAACAAAAACGACGAAGACCACCTCTGCAGAATCTGCCCTTGGTTGGTGTGCAGGTATCAGGGTGTCACCTGTCTCACCTGAAACTTCTCCAGCTCTGAGGTGACCAGTCCCTGAGCCTGGGCCATAGGAGTGTGACACTTGTCGATACACTGATGCACCTGAGTTATGGAGTCCGAGGGTCGATCACAGCATTCTGCACTGCACCTGAACATGCGACTCTGCAGCAGGAACACACACGCACGCACGCACGCACGCACGCACACACACACAGAGGTTGGACATAAGCTTATGTTACAAAAGTGCATAAACTAATAAACTATAATATATATATATATATGAAACCTACCTGCATCTTCCGGATGTGGTCTCGCTCCAGACTCTGGACCATTTCTTCGACCATATTAGAAACGCGTGTCTGGTGTGCCTCTGCCATCTCCGCCCGCTTTGGATGCTCCAAACAAAGCACAAACTCTTAAAACCGCTTTGTAAACTAAGTCAGACCGAACCGAACCGGACTATTAAGGTGGGACAATAAAGTCCACAGAGAATCTGTCGGCAAGTTTCTTTACAATTTAGCAACTAAGGTCACCTCCATTCAAGCATGTTTCAAGATGAGAGATTATCGCGTTACTTCCGCTTGTCTTCCGCTACTTCGACAGAAGCATTTCCGTTTTCCGCACAAGACACTTTCAAAATAAAAGATTATTAACAAACCCATTGACTTGAATAAGAATTCTATGTAACATCCTTGAACAAACCAGAAAACAGATCTGTAAATGAAAACTGACTTTTAAACTTATAATTTTATTTGTGTGTGTGTGTGTGTGTGTGTGTGGGGGGGGGGGGGTCCCCACAAAGACATGTAATTTATTCACCTTTTCATTTGCACCTGGCAAAAATGTAAAACATACAAATACAAAAAAAAAATAAAGCAGTATTTTTAGACCAACAATCTCAAAGTACATAAAAACAGAAACAAACTTGCATATCAAGCAATTCTGCTACAAGACAGGAAAGTTGATCAATATCGTGACATGAATGAATCACATTTTTAAATTTAGGTAAATAGTGGTTTTAATACATGTTCACTTTAGAATTAAATGTGATTTAATAATGTGAATTCTGGCTAGAAGTGTATTTGTTTGTTGGCACCACCATGGTCTCGCACACATCCGTGAGGGCTTTTATTGTGAAGCTGAAACATAAGCGTACCCGGAAGTGTGTTTAGCGAGGTTCATCCGACATAAATGGAGTCCTAAGTTAGATTTTTAACTTATTGCTTTTTAGTCAGCTTTTGTCGATTATTAATGTCTGTTTTCAATACTTCTAGGGGAATTTCTGTGAACTTTAATGTTAGTTTTAAGTGTAGCGTCGTGAAAGCAGCTTATGAATACAGACTCTCGTTCCTGTGACTTTTGAAACAGTAGGTGCGCTCGCTTCATTACTAATTAAATGTGCAGTTAAACTAACATTATGCTGATTTATTTAGGCTATCTAATTACGTGACTGTTTCTCTTTGTTCTTTTCAAGTCCTGTGTTAAACTTTGACCCGTGTTGATAAGAGTAGTTAATAATATGTTTCCTGTTTATTTCTCTTGTGCAGATGCTTCACAGTGTAAATCTGTAGAAACCCTGAATGATGAGTTTCAGCGCTCTGTCTCTGAGAACACTGCTCCTTCTGGGGGTCTGGCACACCGGAAGGAGGAGCTTCACCTCAGCTGCAGGCCTGACCGAGCCACCCAAGAGTATAGGCAAGTCACAATAATACATATTCATCTACTGTCTGCTCTCTGGGCTCTCAAGCTGCATGGAAATATCTTGGATTGCTGTCTGAAGCTCACTTAAAACTGGCAGGTCTTGTGAAAACTGCTGAAAATTTAACATAATTTTAATTTTGCGTTTTTTTCAAACTTTCAAATATGTTAAACGTGATCTGTAAAACATCCAAGGGTTTAAAAGGTATTGAAATCATAGCATCAGTATACTGTAATTAATGTGTTTGCAGATTTATGTGTTGCATTAGTGGGGGGGGGATTACCAAATGTCACAGTTTTACAAGTCTGCAATAAAATTTTCACACTCTGTGTGATATCTGAATGTGATCATGTGAAGTCTAATGCTGCGTTCACACCGAACGCAATTTCAGCTTCAAAATCGCAGCCAACGCAGAAGTTTGAAGCTTGTGCACTTTGAGGTCAGACGCAGGACAGCTCTTGAAGCGCTGCACGGCGACAGCCTCCCCGCCCCTCCCTCCTCTGTCGGGCTCTGTTTAATGTCGGACGAGGAAGTGGCTTTGCTTTATTTACAGAGAGCAAGAGCATGTCACGTTCATCTGATAATTAATTCATAATTAATTCACCAGATAATTCAGAGTAGAGGTTCACAGCTCGCTTTCAGGACTATTTTTCCAGTCTGATGAGTCGCTGCCACGCATTGGTAAGGATATCTCTTTCAGGACACCGACTGCAGGCACTCGATTTCAGCTAAAGAGCTCGTCTCCATCTGTTTCAGGTTAGTGGACATCATTCAGTAAACTGTCCCGTCGGGAAATATGTCRCTACGTCACACAGTGGAGTCTCTCTGATTGGTTGACGTGGCGCGTCGAGCTGCAAAAGTTCAGATTTTCTAACTTCAGCGATTTGAGCATCAAGCACGTCGAACGCTCAGATCGTTCAAATCGCGCTGCTCTAATCGCGCTTGAGGCACCGCAGAACTTCCCGACGTTGCTTGAAGCGCGTCCACCATAGACTTTGTATGTAAACCTGAGGCTCCTGACGCTGAAATCGGGTTCGGTGTGAACGCAGCATAAAGCTTGTGATGTGTTGAAAAGATATGCACTGTGATATGCACACTGAAAGAAGACCCGTTAAAAAACTGCCTGCTACAAATTAAGGATGTGTCAGGAATTTATGAGGTTAAGAAATAGGAACAAAATTTGTTAACTCTCATTAAGGCCACTTTAAAAGTTAACAAGAAAAATAGATTTTATATAAACAAATAGGGGTTGGCTAAAATCTTGCATAGAACAGTATATGATCAAATTTAAACTACTAGTTTTGTTTTGTCTGTAAGTAAAGAAGTGTCAAAAATACACATTGTGTTACTTTCTTCATTTTTCATCTCAGAGCTGCTTTTTTTCTGCCATAAAAGTTTTCCGCCTCTCATTTCAGTCATAAGTAAGAAAAGAAGGCAAACTGATCCAAACCTCTGTTTTATAAGTCTCATACAAGCAGACATGATAAATTCATCCTGACTGACTTTTATTTATTACAGTTGTTTTGTCCCTGCTTCCTTTAAAGCTGTGGTTGGAGCGGGAATCGGTGGAACAGCAGCAGCGTTTTACCTCAGGCAGGAGTTCGGACCTGCTGTCAAGATCGACGTGTTTGAACCCGACGCCGTCGGAGGCCGACTGGCAACGGTGAAGATCGGGGAGTTCGAGTACGAGACCGGAGGCTCGGTGATCCATCCGCTGAACCTCCACATGAAGCACTTCATTGAAAAACTAGGTACCGTCAACACCGACGTGGACAACACAATGTACGCACAATGCATTACTGAGCTGTGGAGTTAAAAATGGGCTAAAAGCTTGAACTTCTGTTTCCTGTTTGTCAGGTATTCCTTCAAGAAAAAACCTCCCCTCTAAAATGGCCATTTTTGACGGAAAGGAGCTCGTGTTTGAAGAGAGCGACTGGTTTATTGTTAACTTCTTTCGTATGCTCTGGCGGTATGGATTCAGTTTTCTTCGAATGCAGATGTGGGTGGAGAGCGTTTTAGACAAATTCATGAGGTGAGAATCCAATGCATCTTTAGGGCTGTGCAATAGAACCAGAAAGAGAGACAGTTGTTATTATCTCAAGGGGATGGAAATGTTTGTGAAGGCATATTTTTGTACTTGCTTGAGAGAAAGATGTACTTTAATTCAGGGTATAGGATTGTGGAATGGTCTGGAGGATGATCTTAAAAATGCCAGATCTATTTATATACTTAAGAGACCGATAAAAGCTAGTTTTTTAAAGGTATATATACAGTATATATA